ATTGGCATCCCGTCATCCTCACAGATTGTTCCGCTCACACCAGACTTCTTGCTGCCAGTGGCTCGGATGAGTTGGGAGAGCTTCCGGTAGTTACCAGATGCAGCTGCTACTTCCAGCTCATTAGCACGCCAGGTGGCACATCGGCGATGACTGTGCCGAAGCTTAGTGCTAGCCAGAAACATGGCTTGAACATTATCGCACACTAAGACAATATCATCCGCATACTCAAGGTTGAAAAGTCTTTCTTCAGGCAACAGATTCACACCGCTATTACCTACATCCATCAGAGCTGTTTCCAGAATGTCATCGATGGCAAAGTTGAAGAGGAATGGTGAGATTGGGCAACCCTGTCTAACCCCACTACTCGAATGGAACAGTGAAGAGAGGTGGTTGTATGCCCTCACTCTACTAGAGGTGTTTGTATATAGGGCTTTTAGGATGTTAATAAACTTCTCAGACACACCGTTCTTCAATAGACAATCCCAGAGAACAGTCCTATCCAACGAATCGAATGCAGCCCTGATGTCAAGAAACACAACGATTGTTGGCCTTTGACAAGTATGACGGTGTTCTGACATTTGGCGGAGGGTGAAGATATGATGAATACATCCTCGACCAGAACGAAACCCAGCCTGCTCCTCGCGAGTCAATCTTTCTCGGGTTTCGAACAACCTACGAAGTATGACGGAAGTCAATAGCTTGGACGTAATCGGAAGTAGACTTATCCTCCGATAGTTGTTACAGGAACGACGTGAACCCTTTTCAAAGATAGGGACAACTATCGACTCATTTCATGACGTTGGTACACTCTCTAATCCCCAGACCTTTGTAAACAACGTCGTCAGTTCCGTAGTCAGAAAGTCCCCACCATCTTTAAAATGAGTTGGAGGTAAGTCATCTGGGTCCGGTGATTTGTAGCGCTTCAAGAGTTGGAGTTCCTTGCGGAATTCCGCCTCATTTGGTGGATCAGTCGTCACCGGCCATGGAGGGCAGGACATTCTGATTGATGTTGCCGGAGCAGCAGGCCATTTGAACTGCCTTTCGAAGAATTCTGCCCATCGTCCAATATGTCGATGGATGTTAGTGATTGGCATCCCGTCATCCTCACAGATTGTTCCGCTCACACCAGACTTCTTGCTGCCAGTGGCTCGGATGAGTTGGGAGAGCTTCCGGTAGTTACCAGATGCAGCTGCTACTTCCAGCTCATTAGCACGCCAGGTGGCACATCGGCGATGACTGTGCCGAACGTTAGTGCTAGCCAGAAACAAGTTGTGGTCACCGTTATCTGTCCTGCGACCAACAACTCCCCATCGGTCACCTAAACTATTCTCTTCTGTGCCTAGACACCCGACCTGAGCATTCAAATCTCCGGCTAGTACTACAATATCTGTCGAACGCACTTTCTGGAGAACAACAGATAACTGGTGGTAGGATTCATCTTTGATTGCATCTGGGCTGCAATCTGTCGGAGATGGCGAAAAGACATCTTTTCTCACGCCGATTTCTTCTCACTTTGATGGAACTTTCTAATCTAACAGCACATAACCAACTGTTAATGGCGATCCAATAGATTAGTGGTGCCTCAGCTCTAGCGCTTAGTGCGACGAAGATGCCACCGAATAAACGCACGTAAAACAAGCCTTTTGAAGCGACAGATGGAGAGCAAATTTGTAGTACTTCACCAGAGTCTTGAATACGGGTCTCGGATAGACAACAAACATCGATATTAAGACTTTCCAAAGACATAGCCAGCCTTATCTGTTGTCCGATTTGTATAAGTGTGCGAGTGTTGAAGGCAGCCAGTTTGAATGGTGCACGTGGTTTCAGAAAAACTGCTTCAGTTCTCGTAATCGGTGGTAACATACAATTTTCAACCGGACAGTGACTCGAGAACGTTTAGATACAGTCTAGTTTCCACCATAGGCGAGCTGCTGTATAAATCGAAAAATAAGGATACATAAAGTGAGAATTAAAGAGAGTGAATAAATGATGTAAATAATAATAATAATGTGAATTGTTCGACTCTAAATCGAAACGAGAATAGAGTTTTCAGTAAATACCATCATTCTCAATATATTTGTGTGTGAGCCGGGATACTGCCCGGGTGCCCTGACCGAAGCAGATGGTTTTCTTCGGAGGCCACACCCCGGGCCTTTGACCTAAAGGTCTGACTCACAAGGCAGTGGAGCATCGTGAGGAGATGCAGTCCCATGGTAGCCGGTGACCAACGATTGGTTCATACACCATTTGTTCCCGCAGGATATTGGAGCCCATGTGCACCATTGATTTGGGATCCGGTTAAGGCGTCGGACATTCGCTTTTCGTCCTCTCATTTTCGTAAACAACACCCCCGCCACGAGAAGGCAGTGAGTGGGACTCCCCTGGCAAAGGCTGTATGCGCGTGACCGTGTGAAAGCATTTCGAACGGGAGAGCGGGCCCATCCCACTCTCGGCCATACCAGGGTATTTGGGGGGCACCCAGAGTGATGGTTTTACGTGAAGTATCATCATTCCTTTGGGCTTGGTAATGAAAAAATACGTCGATAAAAATTCAAAAATCTTACTTGAGCTCTGCCAAATCGCGTCACTTGTGGCATATGAACGATGCTCATCTTGCAACAAAAGGTGAAGTATACCGCACAGTAGTCCGGTCTGTATTACTTTAGTGCTCCGAAACATGGGTTATGAAAATAGAAATAACGCGATAGCTCGGTGTTAAATTTATTCTGAACACATCATTGATCTTCCTCAATCCTTTAAGACTATCAGTAGACAAAATAACAGCGTCTTTTCAGTTTGCCGAAGTCGTAGAAATTAGAGAACTCAAACCTGATTTGTTTCCCGAACGGGGCAGTGATCAACTTATCATGGCCTTGGCAAATTCACAGCTTTGACTGGTATCACCTGCTGTTGTTACTATTATTGTGTTATTAGTGTTTATTTTGTTATTCAGTCCTCGCTCAACCAATTCTTATTTCATATATTCCAGAACCATCTTTCCACTCATCGATTTTTTCACTCATTCAGTTCTCTAGACTTATGTAAACCCTCAAATCTCTGTTTTTAAATAATGACCACCTCATTGTCCAAAATCTATATCTATTTCTAAGTGATCTGAAGGTTGTGTCAACTCTTCATCACTTCTATAATTATCATGAAACCTATCTCATCAGTTTCTTAACCTGATTCAAATACTCCCTCATCTCCCCCTATAATTTTGAATCTCATTTCCGAATAAACTCACTTGCTCGTGCATATATATAATCATTGTTGATAATTCTTGTCATTCTAATTCTTTCCATCATCAGTGTCGATTGCCTTATATTATATTATATCTATGTTATACTTCAATACACACGTGGCTATAAGCAGCTGATGAGAAACCACAAAATATAAGGAGTTCATATTGCTCTGCTTCAACTGTTGTTCTACCTTTATTCCAATTCGTAAAGGGAACCAGTTATAAAAAGACGTTTGGCTTGTAATTCTTTAATGGTGTCTTCGAGACTGTTGGTCGCTTATCATGGAACAATTAAGTAAGCAACGTCAAGATCAAACTAAGGTTACTAGGCGAAAGTGATGAATCGATTGGGGAAATTGTAAACCTTCATTAACTGTGAGGTTAGGGCATGTAGTACTTATGTCCAACTATCACCTATCTCGATGGACTATTTTTGCTGATTTAGGAGTTGGCTACAAGAAAGCTGGAAGCAGTGACATAGCATTAATCCACAAAATCATTAACTATTCGCTTGAGCTATGTTGGTAAATGCAGATTGTTTGGTTGAGGTCTACATGATACATATGGTTGCGAGCTGGGTGCCATGGCTCATAATCGTTCATAATAGCGCAGGCACACTCACTCTTTATATTCCTGCTGATCTTGAATTCTAGTAGTCCTCCTTACGTGCCTTTTCACTTTGTTTTAAAGGTTTAGCTTTTCTAATCATCATTGGTACTACACTATTTTTATGTTTTACTACTCATCGTATTATTTTGATTTCTTCGTTCTAATTTGGTATGGCGATTAGGGCCAATTCACATTTGTTAGGCTATACGTTAATGATGGCTAACTTTGGTGTTTGTCATTTTCGTCAGTAGTTTGTAAGGTTTAGTAGCTGAACTTCGAATGACACTTTAGCTACGAAAGTTTTCACAGCTATTTATTATCATTATCTCTTATATAATGGGTATTCCAATTCACGATGGAATGCACAAACGTATGTTAGTTATTCTGCCATTGCAGAGCAGAGGTTAAGGTTATCGACTATCATTTAGTATGCTTTAGGTTTGATTCATGCTCTGCCTACTGTTTTGTCATTCACCTTTGTTTGTTTTAGCGTTCAAAACACCTGGATCTCAATGTGTTCGTCCTTGTTTAGGGTTTCTAACTTTACCTATCATCTAAGGGCTGATGGTACTGCTTATCTGTACAAATCTACCACTCATAGTTCAAGGTCGCTTTATATTTTGTTAATGAAACTTAAAAAACTATGTATTTCGTTGACCATTTTAACAACTCTTTGACAGGAAATATCTTGCGAATGTTGATACGAGACGTTATCATTGTTTTGTTTAAAGACATAAATGTGCAACTACGTTTTACGTAGTTGCATTATAAAAAAATGTTTTCGAAACAGGAGGCTTTCGTACCTCAATCTTTTTAACTAGGTATTGAGCTTACAGACAGTCATATCACGAGTTCAAAGTTACTTTAATTTAAAATCTAGTAATAAATTCAGTACCGTTCTCTACAGTGAGTGACACTTAAACCCTAGTTTACAAACTTGTGTCGTTATTGTGTTCTGTGTATTTACTTTCAGATATGTGAAAATAAGCTAACGTCTTTGTCATTAACCTCCAAACATCTTAAAAATATATTTCATCTATCTATTGCTTTTTGATTAACAGCTAGCTTTAGTTTTATGTATGCTTGATTTTAGTTTAATTATAAACAAACTTTGGTTGCTAATATACTTTCTCTTATAAAAATATTTCAGATCAAACCAAAAATGAGGCGGTTTTTGTAACTGGCGGTTTTGACCAAACAGCTCAGATATGGCACTGGGATCTTAGTTCAAATAAAGTTAATTGTATTGCTGTTTGTCGTGGACATTCTGAAACTGTGATGACCGCAGCCTCACGCTTGTCTAATAATTCTGATACTCATACAACACATTTCGCTACAGGATCTTGGGATACAACTATCAAAATATGGTCGGCAGGTAATTTCCTAGATAAGAAAGTATTTTATTATCCAAATATATCAAAAATTTCATCAAAACATTTAGTAATAAACTGATTAACCATTTTTTTATTCTTAAAGGGATTGAACCTACAGATCTGTCTGAAGAAACAGGTGGTATTGTACATGTGAGGAAATCGACTAGCAAAACACCTACTAGAGTAAGATTTTTTGAGCATTTATCATACTTTTTATCTACTTCTGTTTGCTACAGTTTCCACTCTCTTTTGTTTAAAAAGATAGTTTACACTTCTTAAGTGTCATGTATTATTTGATTTATTTAATGTCTTCTAATAATTTTAGGGTGTTTAAACGACTGAATTCTAATGAGTTGTTATGATAGTGATTCTTACCCATTATCATACACTTTCTCTAAACAAAAAGTTCGTAACACTGATACTTGTTATTTTCCAGTAGTTTTACGGGTTATATTTTTTTTACCATTCAACATATATTACAGATCCCGTTATTCACCTTAGCGGGACATCGGGAAACTGTCACACGCATTTGCTGGTTACCTTCCACTCTTACTAATGATAGCGAAATAAAGCCTGGTGGAAACCAGCTACTGTCTATCAGTTGGGATCATAGTCTACGTATTTGGGATTGTGAAGCGGCCAAAGGTAACACTGGTGCTGAAGTCCGGTGTATACTTTCCAATCATGCTTTGCATGATGCAGACGTCAATAGCAGAGGTATTTTGACTGCTTCTTCTGATAACTGTATTCGGATATTTGATCCACGAGCAGAAGGTAAGCTTTATTACATTACGTAGCCATTTTTATCCTTGGAGATAGTTATTTTTTAACAATACTCATTATCTTTGTTTTAATTTTCAAAGTACTTTGCATACTGATGAATGTCCGAACAAGTACTCCACATTAATGGAGATTACACTGCGCATGACGTAAATGCTTTGGCATTTTGGTAGATGATAAAACCTCAGATGGAATGCAAAGTATTCGCTTGATTTTTACCATTTGTGACTCAACTAATGTGTGTGAATACCTAATTAAGAACAAGAATATTATGATCCAGTTTTTTCTCTGCTACCACGTCTGTAAAAAAGCCAGCCTGAAACTTAGTGGTATGCAATCCTAAGGTCTTCATAATCATTGTTGGTAGCCAATAAGATCACCAAGAGTTCAATGCTGATGTTAGGTGCAAAAGCGATGTTGGTTAATGGGTTTGTGAGGTGTTGACTAAGTTGGCTTTGGTGTGCGTTATGTCTAACTATCCACTACTTTCCCCACCCTACTGAATTAGATTCTACAGGAGTAACGTGATAAAAGCCTTATAATGGCTTAAACAAAACATCATTACTCGTTTAGGTTGTTGACTATATTACTGTATAGCTATGATATGTAACCTTTAAAGGTAGACTACATTTCTTTTCCACCGTATCACTCCCATACATAACTTATTTTTAAACCATATTTCCAATCTCTCTTTTTTTCACTATCAATACTAATAATATTACTTCCACTTGTTTGATGCTTATTTTGTTAATTTCACCTCATTGTCTCAATGTGGTATGAAAACTTGGGTCAATGCACACTTGTATCAGGCTCTACGTTGATTATGACCGACCGAATAATAAGACCTTGAGATGAAGGCACTAATATGTCTAATTAAAAATTCCAGCGGACTTAAAGTAACCATCCAAAGAAGTAATCAAAGTAAGACTTTATGGTTTACTGACTGGGGTGTTACCCAGTGTACAATGATAAAGATTCAATCAATATGGTTGTTTGAATAGCAAACATTTTTTTATTTGTCTGTAACTCTCTATCGTCTAACCATGCCTTTTAAAATTTGAATTTCTGTTCTAACATTGAAATATGCATGTATATACTTCAAAACCTCCCTATTTTAAATTCTTTTTCCACCAAATTATTTTATAAAGCACCTTTAGTACTCTCTGGATTTCAAGGACATACAGGCTGGTTGACTTCAGTTGCTTGGGCACCTCATAGACAAGATCAGTTTATATCTGGATCAATTGATCGTAGTGTTCGCCTATGGGATACACGTAATCCTCGTTCCTCTCTATATGACTTAATGGGACATGCTGATATTGTGACAGATGTTGATTGGGCGCCTGCAATTAAATTACTTACTAATGATAAACCTATACATTATATCTTAAGTTCATCAGCTGATTCTACTGTAAAAGTTTATCATTATCCAGAGTGATATAATTTATGTTTTAATTATAACAATCAAATATCTGTTTTTGATAGTATAAAAATGCATTTGTCTGTTCTCGAATTAAGAAAATAAAATAAAACAACCTGATTTCACATTGCATTCTATGAGTTTTTATTATACTTGATGAATAAAACATGAATAATGTACAGTCAATTCAAAATTAAACACATTATCCTCATATGTAAAACGTGTTCTTGATCATTAATATTTTTGATATTAAGTATGATAAATGTTCTATTGAAATGACTGATTATAAACTATGCCTTTATAAGAGAAGTCTTATTTTTAAATTAAAACATCGGTCTGCATATACTGATTTTTATACATAAAGCAAAATATTCCACATTGACGAATACTGTTTGTATGTAAACAAAATAGAATTGACTCTATTTTGTTTAACCATTCAATAGAATTTTATATGTCAGTCCATTCATAATTGTTCGGATTAATTAAAGAGTTCGGATTGTCAGATGTTGAAGGCTGTCAGAAAAGAGATCTCTTACATGTAATATTTGTTATTATTATTATTATCATCATGTTTCAAGCTTAAAGTTTATTCATTAGCTTTCTGTTTAATTGGATCTCTCTCGAGAATTACTAATGTCCTACGTTGGAATTCGTTCCCCAGACTATATCATTACCATTGTACATTCATTATATTTGTAACTGTGACTTATCCAAGTATTTAGACATTATTAAAAAAATCTATGAACAACACAATAAGCTACATCCGGTTTGACTTTTCGGTAGTTGGTATTTCGAGACATAATTTACTACTAATTATTTATAATGTTTTAAGCCATGATTTTTCAGCGATTCTGTAGTATAACTGTTAATCAAAGCCTGAAATAGATTGAGCTGTTAGTGAATAATATGACCCCATGAGATATAATTTTCATTGACAGAGTTATAAATCACATCTACCATAAAAAGCTACATGCCATAGGACTTTTCAAGTGTTAGATGTTAGATTGGCTCCAAACTTATGACACAATAACAAGTGATGAACCTAGACCCCAAAGTACATCGTCTAGTTAACATTAGATTAATTAGTATGTGTGCTACGATTATGTTAAATGTTATTATACATGGTACTCTTGTTTAATACGATTTACATTTTTTACTTTCTTAATCTGTCATATACATTACGTGGTTTAGTAGATAATGTGCTTATTTTCAGTGCAGAAATTGATTGGATATCCAGACCTCCACTAATAATCCTATAAATTTTATCACTTGTAAATAGATGGTGTTTTTAAGGCAGTTTGACTTTCAACTAATTAGGCTCCAAAAAACCAAGACATTTTTCTTTCATAAATTAAAAAAAAATTTGAATCACTACTGCTGATTACTATAGCTCTAAGCTGTGGGAACTTACCATGCCTCTATCATTCAACAAATGTACAAGTTAATTCCCTCCATTCACCAATGACATTTTATCATGTTCATTTTGTTACATGAAAAACTATTCATCCGGCTAGTGGTCTTGTATTTGATTGGTAATTATTCAGAGACCCAAGTCTTGGGAGTATCCGACAGCTCGTCTATCTATCGATTAGTACTTTATTCATTGATTTGAACTACCGAAAATTTCGTTTATTGATAAGATTTTATCTGACATGAGTAAACAATTTAAATTTCATAAATTCTTGTAGGTCGTGAATAACCTCTCTTGAATAATTACTGTTCGTATATCGGTTAATAATTCACGAAACAAATTTATAACGTTAGTAAAGTTTGGTTGTGGCTAGCAGAAAAGAATCGCAATATTTACACTGGGATGGAGATGTATTCAGCTGAAAAGTCCCCAAGAGGTTGGAACGTGCATCGTGGCATCCATCGCTGACCATAATTCAACTCTATTCAAGATTCTGACTAGACGACGGTGTCAAGTAAATTCATTCAGGATATGCATACGTCAATACTGATCGGTTGGGACCCTTAATATCAATAACGGGGAAATCCAAACTATTCATAGATTGGCTGAAATTATATATTAACTCCATTGTACGCTGGCTTAATGGTCTATTGGTTCAGTGTTTGTGCAAGACCGAAGTTCCTGGGTTTGAATCCTGCTTACGGGATCGTGAACGCCCACTGTTGAGGAATCCCGTTTCCAGTGCTTCCAGGTCCTCAATGATAGTTTAACATTTGATCGGTTCATGATTTTAATGGAAAACAAACTAATGCGCTCCCTGTAAAATCTATGTACTCAGTACGGATTCTAGATTAAAGTGGAAATTATTTCGCTCAAAGAAAAACCTATTCAATAATTTTCCTCCAATAGTGGTTTGTTTTGATAGTTTTTGTCGAATTGTGCTTCGTATGTTCATGAAACTTATGTTTAACAGAGTTTATAATAATCTGTAAGAACAATTAATAAGTTGCCTATCACTTAAACCCAAAGAGTATAATATTAATTACTATTTTCCCTTGAATATCTTCCCATTTATTTTTCATAACACTTAATTATAAATTCTTTTGTTTATTTATTTGATATTGTAGAGTATTCATCACATTACCGTTTTTTCATAGTTATTACACATACAAAATGCCGTTAATTCTGTTATGCGGGTATCCTTGTTCAGGTAAATCAACCATTGTCTCTTTATTAGCTGACATACTAAAGCAACATTTACCTCATTATTCAATTCTTATTGTGGATGAATTTAAAAGTGGTAATCTACAATCGAAAATAACAACTAACTATGATATCAGATGTGATATTTATGCGGATTCCATAAAAGAACGTGAATTTCGCGGTCAACAAAAATCAGAGGTATGAATAAACTTCCCTTAATATATCCAGTTGTCCATATTAACAGCATATAATCGATTGATAATTAATTTGAGGAAATAAAAAAATTACTTAGAGATATTTGTTGCTATAAGTGACACCTAAGACAAAACGTAAACTCAAACTTTCTTGTTGATTCCTTCCAGTGATCTAACACTAAACTGTTAAGTGAGTATTTACAAGGAATGTGTTTTATGAAATTTATGGATAATGTATATCTCCTGATCAATTAATAGCTATAACTTGATTTATGATTATGTGTTTATAGGTTTTAATGAGTTATTTCTTTTAAGGTCAACATCTTCCTCATTTTTAACTATCTTTGGAGCACTACACCTGTTTTTCTGTTGATCATAATGCTTTTACATTTTGTACTTCTTGCTTGCTTGATGATCAGGTTGAACGAGCACTTACACAAAGTCAATCGACTATAGTAATTATGGATGCACCCAATTATATCAAGGGTTATAGATACGAATTATATTGCATGGCCAAATCTCATAAACATCAACAGATTGTTTTATTCAGCGATATCCCACCTGAAATTTCGGAACATTGGAATTCGAAAGTAATTTTTAATTATTCTTGTTCACTACTTTGTTCGTCTATCTGTTTATTATTATCATTGTTATTATCTAGATATGATAGCCAGTCTTTTAAACGTTCTCTTCAAAAATCTTGATCTTGTCATACCTAGTAGATCTTCTATAAACCGGTTAGTGTCATATTGTAGTTTTGGAGCACTGAACTGTTTATCAAAGATAATTAGCATACCACGAAACAGTAAGTTCTTGCAGATGTGAGAAAAGGTTAGTAGTGGTACGAAACCAAAACTAGGTCAGTATTCTCAAGATAAACTTAAGTCGTCATTTTCTTACGTATGTTACTTTCAAGCTCCTCGTAAACACTTCTGAGTATCATTCTATCTAAAGTCAACGAAGAAAAATGTAAACTTTGAAAATCCAATAGCATATTTAGTCCATCCACATCTCAAAGCCTCACTTAACACATAAATCACTCATACAGTATAGATAACCTTAAAATCCATCGTCATACGTTGTACTATGTATGTAAATACCACGACTAATACTTTCCTGTTAACTGCCTGAAAGTCGATCTGGATGTTTTTCTCGAATCCACTACACAGTTCTAATTTTTAGCTCACATGATAGTTCACCGTAAATCTACTCTTTGCCACTAAAATATAATGACTTTATCTAATTATTAATAGCTGACGTGTGATTGCTATCACTGATTACCGGGAGAGACTAATTCACATTATTATTATTGTAAAATGTTTTAGTAGACTGTTATAACCTTTGACCACCGATTAGAGAGCAGTGACTTATCGATCGGAACAATGACGCGTAAACCCGTATGAGCAGCCTAGAGTTCTGATTGGTACTGCTTTCTGCCTAGCTCAGTCAGTCAATTCCAGAACACAAGTCTTAGCCTCTGTGATATGAACCATGTATTTCAAACATACTCTGTTTATATACCAATCAAGCAGACTACATCGTACCATGAAATAGAAAATAACATTTGTACAATATTTGGCCAACAGGAAAATGGCACGTAAAATAAATATTGACCAGTAGGGAAACGACACGTGAAATAAGTATTGACCAATAGGAAAATGATACCATTCCAAGTCCAAGGATAGCATTAGACTTAACAGGGCAATTTTTGGGATATTTTTCTGAATATCCCAACATAGACAAATACCGACATGTTATTTATTGTTATGCTGGTGGTAACTGTGAAAACATGTTTTCGATATTTTTACGGAATACTAATCGATTTATAATTCCTTGCTAAATTTTCATTATTAGATTAATCGGTATCCTGATGATCTGCTTTCGGATATGATTAGCAGGTTTGAACGTCCTCAGTCTACACAGCGTTGGGATAACCCACTTATAACTATTGAACCTCATCTTTGGAACTCACCAAGCACTGATAATATGGAATCAGTAATTATACAAATAAAACAGCTGCTAAATAACAAAGGCAAAGGAAAGATTCAACCGAATAAATCAACACAACTGACAATTATTTCATCATCTAACTACCTACAAGTAAGTTTATAAAAGCTCTCTTTTGGCACACTGAAGAAATATTTTCCAAGTCATAAACAAAGTTACTACATTTCGGTATTGGTAATTTGCTATCGCTCCGAACCAGTCGAAAAGGTGTATGGTTAAGCAATAACACACATCAGCATTTACCAATACAGTGTAGGTGGTGATTAGTCACTTTCAGGTTAACAGAACTAGCCCAATAAGCGGTTTTGATTCACTTACAATTGAAGCATTCTTATAACAGCCTGGTGTTCATCAACCTCAACACAAGTGGTTTTGACGTTAACTCTGAAAGTTTTAATTCTTCTCGTTTTATTATAAATGTTTTGCAGGAAAAGTTGAAAACTTTTTCTCATTTATGAACCTCAATAATTACATGTTATGGCATTCTTAGTAACAAGAAACTCATCGTTTATTAAAATTGACTTACGGTACCTGTTAAGCAATGTGTTGAATTTGTAAAAGCATATATGTTTCTACCATGCTCTTATTTGCAACATATTGAATTTCAGAATCTGGAGCATATCACGCAGCAAGTCGTAGATCATGTCCTTCGAAGTCAAACCAGGGGTCTTTCATCAGTCGACCTCCCTATGTGTTTCCAAAACGAGCATAACCGAGATGTAGTTCTTCAAATTACCAACTCCGAAACCAAATACACGATTGGCAACCTTATACGACTTAAACGTCGATATATTGCGGTACAACGACTAAAATTTGATCAGTTAAATACAGTTTCGGATAATGCTTCGATTGCAACAAACTTTTTGCAGTTTATTTCGTTCAATGGGGATTTATGTGATGATGAGGCCAGTTAGAAAGTGACAAAAACTTATAAAGACAAGAATCATGTAACATATTTTTTTATAGTTTTTCATACTGCTCTACAATGGGTCTTTTGTAACGATTTACAACATTGATTAGTGTATTTCAGAAATATGGAAATCGTATTTCTAAACCACACAGATATAAAATTTAAAAAACCTACGAGCTATATTGAGAGATACTAAGAATAAACAGTAGGAAAACTATATTCATTTTAAATGGCTACCCTGGCTACATTAACGGAGCAGTTTACCATATGGATATATTTGCCAAGTATGGAAGTTTGTGTAAAGGTTCGTAATACACACTTCCCGACTATCCAAACCAGAGTAGGTTGATTAAAGTCAACTGGTTGATTGCCTTGAAATGACATCTCAATTGGCTTCATGAAGTTATGATTTGAAAGGTTTGAGGCTAGCACAATGAGAGTTGCGACCTTTGTAGCCAGGTTCCTAGGTTGATAAAAGCGTTACCACTATCTATCAAGTTTCCTCTGAAGATTTATGGAACCGGGAAGTGTCAAGCACCCCCATACATCTCTAACAGTGCTCAAATGGACATCTACAACAAGACCGTGTTTCCGCCTCCGTATGTTTTTTCCACTCCTCTTCTGGCTCCGCCTTCTTCACATTCAAACATTGCCAACGACTCTATAATACGAAATATTTCCCCTGTCTTCCAAACAACACTGTCCGAAACCTGTGTCAATTGAAGAACTTCACGAAGACTCTCATGATACTGATACGAACTGTGTGTTTGTAACCCAAGATATGGAGCCAACGAGAATCATCCTTCGCGTAATGGGATATTCGACAAGTTTCGTCAGATAAAAATTATACTTTCTTCGACTATTTAGTAATCGATCTCTCTCTTTATAAGTTATTGGAGATAGCAATTTTTCTAGTAAGAACGAAAAAAACTGCATTGAAAACCTTTCTATCTTCCAAGTGCAGTGTTGTTTCGAGAGGGATGTGTCAGCGTATAAAATGGCCTTTAGGATCAACCGCTTTACTTATTGTTATCCCTGATAAGTTGTTAACAAACGTATTTTTAAAAAAATTTATTTGCTTTTCTGTGGCTTTTTGCCCAGAAATCCTTATTTTCTAAAACTCTGAAACGCCATTTGAATTCGATCACAATGTAGGATTTGGTTTAATAGAAGCATGACTTACATGAAGTAGAACAAGTGCGCAATCCTGGGGTTCGATTTAGCGTACTAAGCAAGAATAATAATCAGTTGACGAGAGGTAGAATCCTCATTGGATAGAATAGCTGGAATGTTATATATGCCTAATCACCGCCTATTTCGACGATAGTTATATACTTTCGATGACATCCTAAGAAAGTGATCAGTCTCTCGTTTTCAAATAAACCAGCGAATGAGTTACCTGAGTGCTGCAGTTATATTCATTCTAACATGATCTGTCATACTTTTCGTTCTTTGATCTCACTCGTTATCTAGATCACATTCCTCATGTTCAGCTATCATTTCATTTGATTCTATTTAACCTCTATCTATCGTCTCTTTACTCTTCTCGCCATGATGATGTGAATTGAGACTTCTGCCAGATCCTACATCGATTAACCACTAAGCAGATAATTGTGTAGGAGTTTGTTTTTTATTATTTTAGTGAAATTAAATGTCTGTCTCGTTCCCGAAACTTTTTAAACTCATCTGAACATCGAAATAAGCGAAACATATATCGCAATGATGGACAGTTATATGTCAATTTAACTAATGTTGATAAATGTATAGGTGAATTCATTGAACTTCCCTATTTATTTTAAATGTTGTAACTGTTTCGATACTTTTTATATTTACTAGTAATAAACAGAAAAAGGTTGGAACACATACTATAATGATTATGAAGTAAAAAAAGAAAAGAAAGGGCGAAATTCGAATTATTCAAACTGTGATATAATAAGTTTACATGCGTGCCCATCTAGCTTGAGACGATCAGTAAATATTAATATTTAGATAATAATGGTGGTATATTCAACAACAGACTGGTCAGTATATATATATGATTTAATGAAGTGTGGAAAAAAGTAAAGAATTTCCCTATAAATGTGAGTAAGTGGACATTGTCATTGATATAGTGTTACTAATATCTGAAGAAATGGCAACTACTCATATGATGTATATATGTGACAAAAAAAATAAATGGAACAATTGTTAATTACTTGATGAGAAGAAATATACATTGCAGATGAGAAGTCAAAAAAAAGTTCTTCAGAAAAGATTCACGTTCAAAAAGTGTCTGTCTTGTTTTGTCAGTAAAAGTAAATTTTAAGTGGGTAAGTAAATAAAAACGGGGACCCAGATTAGTTATGAATTCTACGTACCTCTACCAATGAATATTTTTTAAATAATAATCTTCCAGACATTCTAAAGGATAGTAATGAATGTAGCAAGAAAACTAGTACATCAAAGTAACTTTTAGCTTCAGCCTGTGAAATACCAAAGTGTTAATATTATAACATGATTATCTGTATTTAAGTAAGAGAGATATACATTGAATTATTCTTGTCTCATGTTTAATAGTTCAATTTGTGTTACTGTGTTCCCCCTTTCCATAAACGTCCACTTGACCAAACAACTTGAGACAGAGTTTGTTAGAGTAATGAAGTAAATTTTATAAGCTATATAACCTGAGGCTGTATATAACATGATTAAGTAGAAAAAAAAGATTTCACAGTAAAGTTTGGTTTTTTTTTCTAAAAAAACGAAGTAGCAGAAGAGAGAAAACCTAAACAATTTTGCTTTTAGATCATCTAAAAACAGCCTCTAACTGAGAACTACGGGGAAAGATAGAGGAAGAAATGTCCAGATCATTCATTTCTTATCATAAAATGAGCGTAAAAGTCCAATTTTGTTACACAAGTGTAATAGCAATCAACATTTGATGAGATTCATTCAAATTAATTTATTGTCCGCAAATCAACCTCTTCGCGTATTGAATTCTTTACGACGAAATCCCTGTTGAAGAATTTTTGAAAACACTTATTAGAAGTAAGACTGAATGGTATGCAAAAATTCAGTGTTCAGTTGGCATGGGATATATTTAAGACATCAGTGATTTTTTTTAAATCTAAACACAGATATTTACTTTACAATACCTATATATATATATATATATATATATATATATATATATATATATATATATATATATATATATATATATATATATATATATATATATAGACATCCTGAAAATATTTTGAAACCTTATGTATCCAAAAGAGTTTCGGGTCGCAGTATTCGAGATGTTCTCAAGATGAGTTAGCTGTGCTGGTGTAGGTCTCCCAGTAGTGTTATGAACACCAATATAACAGCGCGGAGTATTTTTGAACACTCGTAGTGTTTTGTGTTTTTTTTTTAGTGATAAAATAGATGGTTATCAAAACTTATCATTAATATTTGATTGCTAACGTTTGACTTAGATTGTGGAAATACTCGCTTTCAAAAACCACGTTGAGATTGTTGCTTTCCTTATTATAAGATCCAGTACAAACATTTCTCAAGATAAAGCTTTCGGCAAAATGTTTTTTTTGCATTTTTGACTGCAGTGTGGAGATTAGGGCGTCATGGCTTACATAAACACTCAATTATGAAATGAATATTCTCGTCTAAACTAAGTGATAAGCTTTTCATTTAAGAGGTCACAGAAACCGTTCAATTGATAGTTTAGTCACGACACGGCCATACACTAAAGAACTCTAAGGAAACACAACCATAAGAAAATGAATTAACAGAAATATTTTAAACAATAAGGATATGACTGAATATAGACGAATCTAAGTTAAAAGCATATTTATTTAAACACATAAACATTGGTACAAGGAGGCACCAAACAGATATGCGCCACATAAATCATTCAATATATGTGAGGGCTGGGATACTTCCCGGGTGCCAAGACCGGAGGTGATTTTCTCAGGAGGCCACATCTCGAGCCTTTAAAGGTCTGATCTACAAGGCAATAGAGCAACGTCAGGAGATGCAATCCTATGGCAACCGATGACCAAAAATTGGTTCATACTCCATTTGTTTCCTCAGGATCCTGGAGCCCATGTGTACCACTGTTTTGGAATCAGGGTTTTCCAACTCATCTATATGGACTCTTTATGTCTACCGACCCGGTTAGAACGCCTGACACTCGCTTTTCATCTTCTCAATTTCGTGAACAACACCCCCGCCGCGATGAGGCAGTGAGCAGTGGCAAATGGTGATTCACTAATCCAAACCGGAGCTTATAAACATGTAAACAGACTTACAACGACAACTTTGAGATACCTTTTTGTGATTTCCTTAACAGATACATTATGATTAACAGTGGGCCGGTATTCGAGAACTCTAAACGGTTTAGTTCGGAGACTAAATTACCTGGTTTTTGTTAAAAGTCGTTTTCGTCCATTTCCCACAACGTAGTATGACCAAGTAAAATTTCACGTACGAAGCTCTAGAACATGACTGTGTATGTAATGGATGAAAGAAAACTGTCTAAAAATTCCAACATTAACTCTAGTGAGTTAGGGATGATCGATACAATTCTGATATTTCAAAGATAAATATGTTAAGTCAAGATCACGATCATTTTAGCAACCTAGTTAAACATTATCTGTCCCTGGAAGAATTCAGATTAATTATTTATTCATCTAGTCGAGCTTAAAGCTGCGATATTTTTAGAAAACCAGTAGTTACACACACAAAACATTTGTCATAAACAGAGATAAGGTTATAAAAATATAGCAAGTAAGAATCTCTTGGGTGAAGTAACTTACTGATAAAAATATATCTAAGTATACAACATATAGAGACCGATGATATGATGTAATCTAACTTACCTCTTGTCTTTCTCGTTGATCATAATAAAAGAAATCGTCGAAAATAGACAATGTATGTGAATATGTGGCAAGTACTTCCATTACTTGTTTACCTCGTTCTAAAGGAAGTTCTGTAGTGTCACGAGAGTGAGTTACTGGTTTATTATCATTTGTCTCAATGCGAATATGTCTCAATGCCGTATTAGGAACATCTTTTACAAATATCCATCGAACCGAAAATTTACCTTGCCATTTATCTTGAGCCCAAACACTGGCTCTAGCATTATAGTCAACACGAGAAACCATTTCAGCCATCCCACAAAAATGTCCAGATCCATTGACTGAAAAAAATAAATATATTGGATAGGCATGATTGGCCTCAGCAAACGCTGTGTCAAGCTTCTTGTTGCCTAGTTCTGTTGAACACCAGATAGAATACTTAATAGAACGATGAATATCATCTTCGGAAAATGACTTGATTACAAAGAATCTGGCCTTTTCTATGCGTGTGTCGAAATCATTGGGGTTAATTACCTTAGCCAAACGTTGGTGCAGCGCTTCCGACTCACGTTGAAAAGCTTGTGCAGATCCATCTGAGGTTAGTAGGGATGTTGAATTATCTGCAGCATGGTTACCATTATTTGAAGTACTCTTTAGCTCAGAATTAGATTCCGCCAAAGAACGAACATTTCCTGAATGGTCCGCAGTATTAACTCTGTCTTGTTGTGTTAAATGCCCATTATTACACGAAGCATTTGCCATCAAAGAATTAGCCCTACCAACTGAATAGTTCCCAGTAGAAGTTTGGAAAGACCTGTTTACAGCTGTTGGATTGTGAGGATGAGACCTTTTCGCTGACCATCCTACAGAGTTTTGAATAACTGCAGCTGACCCTTTGGGTGGTTGTCCTGCTATATTAGCCCAAGTTTTTGTACGTGGTGAACTATTGACAGATGTAGCAATAACTGATGGTGCAGGTCTGTTACTCGCTGAAGTAGATAATCTGCTTGCTGGATAACTACTTTGATTGGATTGTGATCTGGATGTATTATCGGACTTATCCATAGAACACATGCTATTACTAATCTAAAAAGTAAAAAAGTTCACATATTTCCCAGTAATATATTTAAATGTATGTTAGCAAATAAATTGACTATGTACATATTTGTCGTTTACCTATCAAGTAATAGGTTCAAATTGATTTATTCATAATTAGCCTATTTTCACATTTAAATGATACAACTAAATGATAAGTGAAGAAGTTAAATTCTAATTCCCAACTGAGTAAATATACACAAACCTATAAAACGTTTAGTCACACTATTAATGTTTTTAGTTATGTTATAAAAACTACAACTAATTTAAAGTTACTTGATGTATATTTAAAAGTAAAAAGTAATCGTTGCTTTACTCAGTCATATATAACGGTGAGAGGAGACCATCAGAATAAATCAGAATATTAGAGGTAGTAAAAGTACTAGTGGTAATAGAAAAGATCAGGCATCGAAGATACGATTCAAGAATATGTAGACTAACCTAATGAAAATAAAAATATTATAAGATAATCCGGAAACTTAGGATCTGAGGAAAAACAAATAGTGAGTGCGCCTATGCCATTCCAAATCAGAAAACAACAATATTACCCCTTGGTTACAAAACTCTGTGAACCCCAGCAAGGTATTCTGCATCTACTTACATGGCTAAATCCAATTGCTAGTGTCTTCATAGGCTGATGCCAAATCTCGGATTGGCTGCCTATAGCTTTCTTTCAACCTACGCTAGGCATCATCGAATATCGAGGTAATCGGTTGACGGGCGTACGTAGCACGTGTTTCAACCAACTCAGTTAAAGATTCATTACCTCACTAATTAATTAGCCATTTTCACCTACTATCCTGAATCTAACTCCGTGGTCCCAACAAATACGAGTAATGCTTTCAAGACATTTGTGGTCGAATACTAGTAAACTAAGAATATCCCCTATCTTTAAAGTAGAACAGAGTGAACAGCTGCGCCGTTTGAATGTAAAAGATTATATTTTATGGACATGATTTTGAAAACCTGAAAACAATAATAAGAGGATTTTCATGGATCCCTGATATGTCAGCTTCACATTTGAAATCTGTCAAACCAAAAAGCGCGAATCGGTGACTAAAAAACCATATGCATAATATATGGAACTGTATTGACTTACTCCGTTACTTTCTTTCATATGAGACCATTGTGTCACTGAAGTATTATGTAACTGAACATTACTTCCGTTCCCAACAACTGAAGTTTCATAAAACGGGACATGCAACTGATTTAACCCATTATCACTGCAAGTTGCTGTTTCGACACCACATCCAACATTTAGTCGACCAAATTCATCGATCAGATGTTGTGAGATTGTTTGGCACTGATTTACTGAAGCATAGGGATCTAACATATTAGCAGCACTACCAGGTAATCCATTTACAAGATGCGACTGAGGTCCTTGAGATGAAAACGGATAGGCAGCTTTTGAATTTGGATGATGGTAGATGAATGAAACACCAGGGTCTTCAGTGGTACATTGTTGTTGCTGCTGAGAATAGGATGCAGGTGGCGCGAAAACAGTATCTCCCATATTCGATGATGTATAATACGTATGTGGGTCTTTAGATGACATATTTGCTTCGGATGGACCTTGACTAAAGTGATTGATTGCATCATTTTCACCACAAGGTGACAATGTTAATTGTTGACCATTTGAAGCCCAGCCCTCAAAAGGAACGACTGCACCAGTAGGTCTGTCTATAAATGAAGAGTTTGGATAGTGAGTTGGAGGAACAGTGAAAGGCCAGTTAGGTAGGTTACCAAGAAGCCCATTAAGTTGGTTAGCATTAGTAACAGATGGTCTTGTGGAAGAACCAAAGTACATTGTTGTGAAATCAGCTGCTCTATTATTCATTGAGGGATTAGGTAAGAAAGACCGACCTGTTTGGCCAGAAACGGCATTTGCAGCACCCTGAGGAAGTGGATAAGCTGCAGCAGCTGCTGCAGCAACTGCAGCCAACAAAGTTGCAGCATAAGGTGATGATAAAGAACTGGATGGAATATTACAAGACTCGGATAAATCCCCAGAATTTGAGCAAGCTGTCATGGATGGATGTGTACGCATATTATTCATCATGTTTGAAACAGCGTTATAACCGTCAGTATTAGACCAATCGTTTCTTCCAGAAGCCACTGCTGCTAAGGCTGCAGCGGCAGCTGCCGCAGCTGCATTTTCTGCATTTGGGGTTGTAGCTGAGTTTACTCCATTGCCCTCACCCATTCCATAAGACAAGTGCGAGAAAAGTGTCCCATAGTAAGCGTCCGCTGAATTATTGATACCATATATATTCTACAAAGCAAATTTACAAATATCACAAAAATGCTTTAAATAATCAGTTAGATCAAAATGGTTTATGATTCGCAAAGTCACCTAGTCTATATCCTAAATATAACTTGGTCAGATAGTTATGATTGGTGAGGAAACGATTTATTCTAATTTTTAACTAACGCTTAAAAAAATGTAAAATGATGAGGCCAAATTTTTTTTGATTAAATGCTTTATGTTCTGTTTACAAATTTCAACTAAAAGATTTCGTCTCTTGATCAGGATACCCAAGTATTAGACAGCAAACGGAACTCGGTAACAGTGTAAAACTAAATGGTTTAGATAATGTACTAGTCGACTACTTATATTTCATCAAGAGCAGATGAATGAACCTGTAATTAGTCAGTTGAAGCTAGTCTAAATTAACAGCCCGAAACTAAATAGCCAAGCATTAAACAGCTCAAAAATTAACACTTGTTTTTAAATTCCTAAAATTTTTCATTAAGGGACTTTATTTGATTATTAGGACATTGTTTCTGAACGTATCTAAATGTAAAAACGAAAATAAAATGGTGGAGTTAGATGCTTTTTTTAGGACAAACAAAATGATATTTATACCCAAAAGAACTTTATGCACATAATCCAGAAGCTAATAGCTCCTTATCGTGGTGAGTAGTTTCTCCATATAAATAATTTCCCAACGATCTTAGAGAAAATGTTTACATTTTATATCGTGTATGTCACAGTAAACAACTAGTGCTATATTTAAATGTGACAGACCTAATCTGTTAATACTACCTATTATGACTAGAGTTCCCAGGTATAAACCTCACTATTTTAGAGCGATTTAGTTATATAGCTTACCTACAACTCTAGGTAGGCAACACATGGTGAATTATCCATTAAACGACGTATCAGAGACACACTTTTAAATTATAGGGTTGGTAGTTTAGTTTTAAGTGAGCACATATACTTTTTGTTTCCTATATGATAACAGCCTACAAATGCTTCTCGTAAAGAATTGAGGCCTTCAACAATGCGGAGTCAAAGCATAAACTATTGAGGAAGTTTGTATGAACCAAACAGTTAAATAAAATGGCGAATTCACTGAAATGAGATCTTGCTATGTAATTCATAATCGTGGAGAAAATTATTCTTTATCCACTTCATCAACAATCGAGAAGTCATTTGAGCTACAAAACTTTGTTTAGCGTTTTGAGAACGAATTAAATGGTCCCATTTGAGTAAAAGTACCAAATAAACATTTTATTCGTTGGGATGTCTTACTGCCCATAAAGAATATAACAAAAAATTACAATAGTATCGCTGCTGACTTTTGCTTCGACAATAAAATGTATGGGGTGTTAATTATTATCAATGTACGATCTGGCACGAACGTGCAACAGTCCACATTATTGTTTCCTCAGCACATGGAAATAAAACTTGAAAATACGATGAGCAAAAAGAAAATAATGTCAAATGTAATCGAAAGCCAAATATGAAAAACGCAACTCAAGCAGAGCAAATGAAGTTAGTCAGTAAAAAACATGGAAAAACGTGAGGATATAGAATGAACTACGGTATTAGGGTAACTCATTTACGGAATACAGATGTATATACTTGATTTAAAGCCACACATTTTGTGCGGAGAGTAATATTACTATCTGTCTGGTCATATCGAAGAAGATGGAATAGCATCCAAACTTGTGACACCTGATTGACAAAAAACAAGTGAGCTAAATACTAAGTCATAGCAATCATTTGGAGATAATGATGACTGAACAGACTTGTTAAATTGATATGATGGGATGAAAAGTCAAAATTGGATTGATTTACTCATTATGATTTTTATTCAACATTAATTCCGTTTTAATTCAATGTGATGATTACTCAGTATAGTATTTATTTTGTTTTCCCGTATGACATTTTATTCCGTATAACTTACGATATTCTCGTATGAATTATTTTTCATATGTGATTTATTCTGATTATTAATCAAAAATGGGTGTAGGAATCAATATATAAATGAGTGCAATTCTGACTAGACTCGTAGTGGTTGTTTGTGCTTCTGGCTGCTTGTGGAATATATTTCCCTCTTCCGAACTTGGACTTCTCTCTCTAGTTAGCTGAGTTGGGACTCGTCGGGATAGCTGGCTTATCTGTCATTGTCAGTCTTCGTTCCGTTCTCAAATTAGATGAACTCGTAATTGCTTCAAACAGCATATATATTTTTTGTTTAGGCAAGGCTTTGCAAGCAAACAGCAGAACTACTCGTAAGGTCAAGTTATATATTGTCTTTTACAGAAAGACTAACGCCACAATAGTAATAGTTTATGAAATCACCAAATAAAATCAGGTAATACAGTAAACAGTCAGAAATCAACTCAGATTTCCATCTCTTACAAATACATAAGTACTGCTTTGATCAGGAATACAATAGAAACGATCAATGAAAACAGTTGCTTGATGAAAGTCAGGCATAATAAACGTAAAGCCTCGCACAGATGTGTGTTAACCCAAGTTGACATATCAGTCAGTCAGCTACAACGTAGGACCAGGCACATATGTGCATCGGTCCACGTTGCCATACCGCATCAACACAACAAGATGAACACCAGATTCATAACAGTGGTTAGGTTAAAGGTGGTAATATATAAGAGAAAGATTGCATATAGAGATATAGTACAAGAAGAATTGGTTCGTAGAAAGAAAGATATGAAGCGATTTTAATCTCTTAGTTTAAGGGAAGACAGGGAGTGTATACACCGACGCCATTGTGATCGATTCTGAGCCATGTCACCAAGAGTCTCCAACCATTGGTTACGATAGTCACGCGAACCCCAACCAAGTAGTCTGCATCTACCAACTTCGCCGCCCCTAATTCTCTTCCAACCATCTCTAACACCCGTTAGCATTGCACGACGTGGTAATCGGTGTTCAGGCATACGTAACACGTGGCCCAACCATCTCAGTCGATGAAGATTCACAACCTCATCAACTGATTTACCATCCTTTCCTAATACCCTGCGTCTAACCTCACTATTACTTACCCGATTATCCCAGCAGACGCCAGCAATATTTCTAAGGCATCTGTGGTCAAATACTAGTAGCTTACGAGTATCTTCTACTCTTGATGGCCATGTTTTGTTGCCGTAAAGTAAGACAGAACGGACTGCCGTGCAGTATACTCGTCCTTTTATTGATAGACGGATATCTCGCCTTCGCCACAGGTGACGTAAGTTGGAAAAAGCCAAACGAGCTTTTCGAATTCGTGCTGAGAGTTCGACGTGTGTCCCTACCCTTCCGAGTTCTTACGGAGCCGTTTAGCCGAACAGCACATAGACGAATGTTGACGGGGATCCACTCTAGCAGTGCTTGTTCGGCCCTCATGCTTAGTGCTACGCCTACACCTGCCAGTCCACGAGAACTGGCCATCGGGTCACCAGATACACGTAGGGTGTATCTCGTTGGCTCTCCGTTTTGCCGAGGTGAGGTCAAGTGAATAACCACACTGGAATCCTGTATGCGTGTTTCGGAGACACAGCACACATCAGTGGTAAGAGACTAGGGTTCTAGCCAAGGAAGCCTGTTGACCGATTTGACATAGGGTTCGTACGTTGAAGGCTCAAATGTGTAGTTTGGAGCGAGGTTTCAGTAGACTTGGGACAGTGTTTTGAGCACTAGAATCGTTGGCTATGGTGACACTTGAGGAGGAAGCCGAGAGAGGAAATTTAGAGTTGAAAGTCGATGTAGGAGAAATAATAGGAATTGAAGAGGGAGGTTGATTATGAATATAGTGGTCTTGGGTGCTGTTAGAGGTATGAGAACGGTTATTACTTCCCGGTTGCCCACACCGTGGAAGGGTTGTTCTGGAGGTACCTGAAAAGGAAATTGGATTAAAGGTGGTGATTTGAGAGCGTGACCGCAGTGCCCAAGGGACAACTGCTTGAGGTCGGTCACATACCACCTTTTTATGGGTTATTGTTGTGTTAGCTCCGTACTTATCGAGATCTTACCGCCAGAGACGGGTATCCGTGGGATAAGGCGAGGTGTGCATTTTTAGGGTCGACCTTTTCTAACCCCACCCCTCCTTGTGGGAAGGCAGCATCGCTGTCATGCTGGTTGTCTGAAGGAAACACCTTACTGCTGTCACACCTCTGTACAGTCAGCAGTACGACTTCGCCTTCGGACCTTAGGTTTGTTGCTTTTAGTCTTACCGCTCTTCAACCGACCTGTCTGACATGGTAGGACCTTGAGGAACGGTTATTCCAGCTAGTGTAGCTCGGTTGCTTCATCACGATAGGCAAGCCCGACCACCACGTCAAGGTAGCAACAACGGTCGGGAGTTGACGTATCATGTATCATGTTAAAACGGCAAATGGAAGTAACAATATAAAAAGTGAACAAGTAAAAACACAATGTATTACTAATGATAATGAGACTACAGATTGAGAATACAGCTAAAAAAACACGAAGTAAACTTATGCACGGATGAATAATAAGCCTCAAAATCTACAGCAAAACAAATAGTGTATCCATCTGTGCTACCGTGACTGATGCTAAACTGTTACCCGTTCCCAACCACGATAATTTTTACACGAACCGCAACAAAGTAATCCGCATTTACAAAAATGCCTTAGACTGAGTCGATAGCTCCACGAACTGATAACCACGACCGTAGATGCCACCTTAACGCATTGGTCGCGTTTTGATATCGTGGTGACCCAAATGAGTTATACTGACTGGAACACTTGCATTCTAATGTTTTACCGTAACTAAACAGGTCTGTTAAACAGAGGTCAGACTGAAGCCAACAAACTTATGATCTGAGGACGATATGTTCTAGACTGCATACGATTTTGACGGCATTACGGCGTTTCCGTTAAACAAAAAGTAACTGCAGCGATTCTTCTTCACCACAACGGTAGGAGGGGTTAGAAAACGTTGGCTTTATAAACAGCATTTTATCTTACCCAAAGTTTCTTCTTGGCCGGTACCAAACCCTTTAAAGTACCGAGCTAACACATCGTAAACTATTCTCAATAGGGCCCTGTGACCGGCCTTAAGCTGTTGCATCGCCATTAAGTCTCCTTATTTGGCCTAGTATGCTCAGACGCTTTATTTTACACGACTATCAAACTAAAACAGGACTTGGATAGAACGTAAATATATCCTAGCAACTTGAACGCATTACCTCAAAATCCTAGGGTGTTAAGACAGACTTAACCAACCAACTCTAGAGGATAAGCGGCCGGTAACGACTGATCCACCAAAAGAAGGCGGAATTCCGCAAGGAACTCCAACTCTTGAAGCGCTACAAATCACCGGACCCAGATGACTTACCTCCAACTCATTTTAAAGATGGTGGTGACCTTTTGACTAAGGAATTGACGACGTTGTTTACAAAGGTCTGGGGATTAGAGAGTGTACCAACGTCATGAAATGAGTCGATAGTTGTCCCTATCTTTGAAAAGGGTTCACGTCGTTTCTGTAACAACTATCGGAGGATAAGTCTACTTCCGATTACGTCCAAGCTATTGGCTTCCGTCATACTTCGTAGGTTGTTCGAAACCCGAGAAAGATTGACTCGCGAGGAGCAGGCTGGGTTTTGTTCTGGTCGAGGATGTATTGATCATATCTTCACCCTACGCCAAATGTCAGAACACCCTCATACTTGTCAAAGGCCAACAATCGTTGTGTTTCTTGACATCAGGGCTGCATTCGATTCGTTGGACAGGACTGTTCTCTGGGATTGTCTATTGAAGAACGGTGTGTCTGAGAAGTTTATTAACATCCTAAAAGCCCTATATACAAACACCTCTAGTAGAGTGAGGGCATACAACCACCTCTCTTCACTGTTCCATTCAAGCAGTGGGGTTAGACAGGGTTGCCCAATCTCACCATTCCTCTTCAACTTTGCCATCGATGACATTCTGGAAACAGCTCTGATGGATGTAGGTAATAGCGGTGTGAATCTGTTGCCTGAAGAAAAACTTTTCAACCTTGAGTATGCGGATGATATTGTCTTAGTGTGCGATAATGTTCAAGCCATGCAATTCGCACTTAATCAGTTGGCAATCAATGTCCGTAGGTATGGTATGTGCTTTGCATCTTCCAAGTGCAAAGTACTTCTACAAAACTAACAGGATTCTAATGCTGTACTCACCCTGGATGCTGAGCAGATAGAAGTAGTCAAGAAGTTCGTGTATCTGGGTAGCTGCATAAGTGCTGGTGGGGGTGTGAGTGATGAGATCAATGCACGTATAGTGAAAGCCAGAGCGGCTTATGCCAATCTGGGCCACCTTTGGCGCCTTCGTGATGTTAGTCTGGCTGTAAAAGGTCGAATCTACAACGCGTCGGTGAGAGCAGTTTCGCTCTATGCTTGTGAAACATGGCCTCTCCGAGTTGAGGACGTTAGACGACTGTGTTCGATCATCGTTGTCTCCGAAGGATTGCTGACATCCAGTGGCAACACCATGTCAGTAGTAATGCAGAGGTTTGACATCGTGTGTTCGGGCACAGAGACGATAATGCAATTGGTGTCACCATCTTGAAACATCGACTTCGGTGGCTTGGACATGTTCTACGAATGTCGTCCCAGAGAATTCCACGTCGTGCATTATTTGCCGACTCTGGGACTGGTTGGAAAAAGCGGAGAGGTGGTCAGTGCATGACATGGTGTCGTGGTATGAAAGAAAGCTGCAAAGGACTGGCTTCTGTCGGTCCTTCACGACTCCCTGGTTGGGGTCTGAGAGATGGTGCTACACAGTGGCTAGATACGTTATCAGATATGGCTCAGAATAGAAGCCAGTGGCGATCCTGCTGTAACCTTCTTTTACTTCATAAAAAGTGTATCTTTCTTAACTGAAAGATTTCTTCTGGTTGTACCTTTCCGTTTCCCCCATTATTATTATGACTACACTTCATTACACTAATCTGGTCTTTATTGTTCCTCTTCTTCTTATTTCCTTTTACGCTCCTTTCCTTTTTTTCTCCTCATTCTCATTATTTTGTGTGGCGTATATATATTGGCGCTCTCTTGTACCAATATTTGTGTTCAAATAAATAAATAAATAGATGATTAGCGGTAAAGACGGTAGAATCGTCCTGTATGGTCATTAAACATGCACCTATATTTCTTGTTGAATCAACTGAACTTTACTCACCGTTACTCAGCACAAAACGGTGGGACAAATAAAATAAACAGCTCTTTTCAGGAAGGATGGTAGCCTCCTGGTCAGGGAACTAACTGGATTTTGGGGGTCTAGGAAACATCGTGGAATGAGAGAGCTACCTTTGCTATCGTTAAAAAGCCCTCACGTCACCTATACAGTGAACATCGGCACCCAACCGTTACATGTAGTGAAAGCTTTCAAATTGTGCATTATTTGCTGACGCTAGAACTGGTTGGAAAAAGCCAACAGGTGGTCAGTTTGCGGCATGGTGTTGTGCTACGAAAGCTAAGTAGGGATGAAATCTGTCGATCCCTCACGATTCCTTTGTTGGTATCCTAGTGATTATGCAACACAGTGGCTTGAGACGTTATCAGAAATGGCTCAGAATAGAAGCTAGTAGCAGTACTGCATTAGCTTTCCCTTACTTAATATGTGACAAGAACTTTAACTGAGGTTCTTTTTGGTTGTCTTCTGAACTTAACTGCCTCTCCCACCATATATCACTTTCGTTCGCTTTACTAATTTGTTGATTATACCCCCTCACGTAATTCTTTATTGATCTTTTTCGTACTGTACAAATTTACCTTGGTACTCGTTTGAACTGATGTTTATGTGCTTAAGTAAGTAAACGACGAACAGATTTTCAGTCATCTGCGCCAGTTGTTCGGTAGGAGACTAGTACAGCTTCTACTGACCAAATAGGCTATTAGGTGTTTTTCACCTTATGGCTTTATGAAACGCTAATTACATAAAACAAAAATACAAGATACTATTGGAATACGAGCTCATTTATGGATCTCGAATAGTAACTTACTCTTCATATTATCATTAACCTCGTGACCAAAGTGATCATAACCGAGGCCTTGTGTCAAAGTTATGAATACGACAGAGACCAGCGAATTAAGAAAAATATTATACACAAGGATGTCATACTACAGAACCATGTTATTATACCGGATCCAAACGGTTAACGAGAATAATACGTTCATTGGTACACCTTGATATATATATATATATATATATATATATATATATATATATATATATATATATATCAAGGAGATTGCAGCTTAATTGTGGGCTATTTATTGATCACAAATGTATTTACGCATCACTGAGTCGCGTCTATTTAACTAGTACTCGAAAAGAGATTCTAAAGATGCAACAACCCATTTTTTAATATGTGCGAGCGATGTGGGTTTTTTAGACGCACTTCAGCTCGATTACCATTTACTTAACTTACAAAACCCACTTCATTAATCTTCCTAACGATATTTTGTTCCATAAGAGACCCATATTTTTCCGGATTAAAAACTTACAGAATAAGGTGAAAGTGAATTACTCAGTAAACAACAAACTACCTGGGGCGTATTCGACATATTTCGCGCGGACAAATTTCCCACGTGCTCAGATGTAGGGGTAGATTAAACACAATTTGTAACCATGATCATCTGATTTCACAAAAATGTATGTCCATCAACTATACTGTAAGATATATTGGAAACATATCTTTAGTTTTATGGATGGATGTTATACTGCCGTTTCAAGTCGTGATTTATCACATCTCTGATTTCATATACTTGAAATGGTTCAAATGGTTGTGGACGGAATAGAAGAAGCTTCCGCTTAACGGGCTTCCGTGTCTAGTAGCAGCGGATTACCAAGACCCCCAGGCAGGAACCTAGGTATATCAACGATAATAGAGGAAAAAAGAAACTGATAAATCATAATAAGATGTTATCCTTAGTCCTAAAGAATAGATCAAGTTGCCTCTTAAAGGACTCCTGGGAAGTCGCTTGAACTAGTTGAGTCGGCAGAAACTTCCAGCATTTGACAACTCTTAAAGAATAGAAGTTGTGTCTACAGTCCGTCCTGCTGTACTGTTTCTAGTTTCTGGGTGTTACCACTTAGTTTTATATTGGGACTAAGCTTAAGTAGGTGTTTAAAGGGATGTCCTGAAGTGCTAAGGATACTGTAAGCCATTAAAAGGTCACTCCCAAGACGCCTATACTCTAATAGGTAAATGTTAAGTGACTTGAGTCCCTGAACTGATTACGTGGCTCGCCGTTGGATATGCTCCAGAGTGCCCTTATTCTTTTGGAGTGAGGGAGGAAGTACTATGTTTCCGTACTCTAAATAGGGACGAATAAAAGTGTTTAAGATTATGTAGAAAGTTCTTCCGTCAAACTGGCCAAGAATGCGCTTCAATGTTATCAGTGCAAGATTTGCTAGAAAGGCATTTCTGTCACAGTTAGCGTAGGACTTTAAATCGTATGGTACCAGGACTCCTAAATCTTTTTCGACTCGGGATAATATTAGACGGGAGTTTCCTAAGTTGGTCTGTAGTCTGTAAAATGTCGCAGATGAACTAATTCACACTTTGGAGTTTTAAAGGTAAGTCCGTTATCGTCTACCCAACTTTGAAGTCTGGTCAGATCCCCGTGAAATGCCTGTATATAGTCTTGGTTGCGCATTGCTCTCCAATGTTTCACGTCATCAGCAAAAAGTAATAGGTCTGACGATACCCGTCGTGGAAGATCATTTATATAAATCAAGAAGAAAAAAGGTCCTAGCACTGAGCCCTGAAGAAACCCCACTAGGACATTCCATAGCCTGAGATAAAGTGAAATTAGCCCTGACCTTAAAATGTCGATTTTTGAGATATGAAATTAGCCAATTAATTAGAGGTGGTCTGATACTCAGTCGTTTGCGCTTATTGATAAGACATGTATGTTTAACCTCATCAAAAGCTTTTGAGAAATCAAGGTAAATGATATCAACCTTGCCCTTGCGATCAAGGATGCCTGTCCATCTGTCCACTGCAGTCAGCAGGTTGGTTATACAAGAGTAACCCTTCCTGAAATCTTGCTGTTGGGGTGAGAAGAAATTTAAGGACAGTGAACAGTCGTTTATACCACCACATATCAGGGACTCCATGATTTTTGAGGGTATGGAGAGAAGAGCCACCGGTCGGTAACTTGAAGGTTCGCTGCGTCGACCTCCTTTGAAAATTGGTGTGATGTGAGCCAGTTTCCAATTTCCCGATAGTTTGCCTCGGCTTAGCGTGTGTGAGAATGTCACGCTAAGCGGTGTTGCCAGGATTGTAGCTGCTTCCCTCAGTATAGCAGAATGAAACATATCCGGGCCAGGAGAAGTGTCTTTTCTTAGGAACACCAGCGCTCAAGTTTACTTCGAAAACTCCTGTGTAATTGCAGATGAAGCTGTCATCAATATAGCTGATGTGGGTCGGTTGAAATGTCCAAGAGTATTGTTCATCCAAAAGGTTAGCGGCATCGCCGGCATTATAAGTCGGGCCATTAGGACCTTGCAGCTGGAAAGCTCCAGCTTCGGCTTGTCGAAGAGAGGCTGAATAACGGAATAAGCTCTTCGGATTGGAGACAAATTTATCCATAAGCTTTATCTGGTACTGGAGCCTATCTTCTCTTATAGCCTTCATGCATATGCTTCTTATATGTTTGTATTGCCTGTGCGCTCCATTGTTGTCAGGTCGTTTGTATTCTGCCCAATAGTGCCTTTTGCGACTTAGCAGGCGAAGAGTGCGGTTCTTGGTGATTGTAGGTTGCCTGTAACTTTTAGGGACCGATTGAGGAACTGAATGATTTGTAGCACATAAGAGCATGTGCAGTAAGACATCCCAATGAGCATCCACATCGAGTTGAGGGTAACCATCTCAATCCACCTGTTGTAGATAGTCCTGTAGAGCTGACACATTCAACCGTTTGAAATTCCAGCGCAAGTTGATGGTGGGATATCTTAGCTCAGTTCTGCTGACAAAACTGAAAGTTATAACGGCGTGATCGCTTTTTCCCAAAGGAGTCAGGATTGAGAGGTTGTCAATTAGGAATTCTTCGTTTGTAAATACACAGTCTAAGCGCGATGGTGTCTGACTTTCTCCAACGAGTTGCCGACTTCGCAGTTTCGTATAATCGCAGATCCACAATGAGATTGAAGAACCGAGCTTCAGTTGAGTTTTCACCTCCAGTATACGTATGCTCCGCGAAGTTGACTCTTGGGAGATTGAAGTCCCCTAGAATCAGGATATGAGTAAATCTGAGACGCGTAGAGCGGGATGATAATAATAATAATTTATTCTCAAATAACAGTTTGTTACATGAGGCATGCCAGTTTACAGGCAAGATCAAATTGATACAAATGATACAATATTCACTGCAGGGTTGATAATTTTTAAGATATGAATCTAGATGGTTTTAATCAGTACCACAGTTGGCGCGCTTCATGAAAGTTGCGTTTCAAATGTGCGACTGATGGTCAAGGATAGGTCCATTGAAGGTTGGAGCTTCTAAATGTCGCAACCTTATGTCCCTTTGGAATGTCTAAGGCTTTGAGGATGGTGCAAGATGAAATCTTTCGTTCCATATCACAAGGGGGCTGAAAGAGGGAGCAAGTAAAAGAAAGGACGAGAGGCAGAGTAGCCAATATTCATGAAGGAATGTTTAAGGTATGATTACTCAGTCTAATCTTCTTTCATTAAGGTATCTGTTAAGAAAGAGCATTTTAATAGGTAAAAGAAAATTGTTAACAAGGTGTGAGTGGACATACAACTGACAAATGGAGGCAATTCGAAAAGGAACTGAGAGTATGGGGTTATTTGTGGTTATAAAATAAAATATAGTGCTAGAAACAGTATTGTGATATACAATTGGCCATCTTCCTTTTTTATTGAAGCTATTAGAGCCCCTTTCGTTTTTTTGTATTATTATTTTTCCCCCAGGTATTATAGTGTCTTGAGTAGGCTTCGTATATTAGCGAATTGTTTGGTTTGCTTGTAATAGGATTTCTGGGTAGGAAGTGAAACCAATTCAACATTCGTGACACGATTTAAAGAGGTATTTTGCGCGATAAGTCAGCATCAATACCATAAGTTCGTGACATCCCACTAAACCATAAGGAGCCGTAATTAAACAAAATGTTCTGCCCTACAAACATGGGTGGACTGAATTTATCTCCCCACCGTCATGTTTGCTGGATAGTCCTCCCAGCACACGACCGTCATGCTCGATGTCGGCAGTGGGCTTCATATAGATGACCCTGACTAGGCACCTCGAAGTGGTAGACAATCTTGCTGAGCACCATACGGATTCATTAAGATTGTTAAACTCATGGTTGTGACCTTGGTGTACCTCCAGGCAGGATCATATATATGCGGCTACCCTACCCCATATTCCTATTTTTCTATCGTTGCGAAACAAATACATCTCAGGGATTGCTAGCTCCTGGTCCGAGAACTGAGAAGCTATCCAAGTTTCAGATATTCCTGTCAGATGAGCCTTCTTAGCATCGCCAAGTTCACGTAGCTTTTGCATTTTATTTGGTAGACTCGCAGCGTTCATTTATAAGTAGTTTATGCTTTCAATTTGAAACGTGTGAGCTTCTTTCTGTTTGTCTGTTTGAGCCTTACGTGAATAGACAGGTGGCCTACGTATATAAGGTTTGTCGAGTTGGTAGGCCCTGTCTTTTACAAGCTTTTTTATGAACAAGACAGTTCACAAGTGGGATGGTCAGCTCTGACTTGTCTTTTGCTTAATCCTGGCATGTAGCCCCCGAACGCCCTGGTACGGCCGAGAGTGGGGAGAGTCCGCTCTCCCTCTCGAAATACTCTCACACGGCCGCGCGTATACAGCCTCTGCCAGGGAAGTCCTACTCATTGCCTTCTCGTGGCGGGGGTGTTGTTTACGAAAATGAGAGGACGAAAAGCGAACGTCCGGCGCTTTAACCGGATCACAAACCAATGGTGCACATGAGCTCCAGTATCCTGCGGGAACAAATGGCGTATGAACCAATCGTTGATCACCGGCTACCATGGGATTGCATCTCCTCACGATGTTCCACTGCCTTGTGGGTTAGACCATTAGGTCAAAGGCTCGGGGTGTGGCCCCCTAAGATAACCACCTGCTTCGGTTTGGGCACCCGGGCAGTATCACAGCCCACATACAAACAATGAACTCTATGACTACGGCAACTACCTTTCTCGATCCGATAAACAATCAATCAATTCAAATAATTATCATTACTATTATTGTCATTATTAATACTATTATTATTATTACCATTATTGTCATTATTGTTATTATTATTATTATTTTCCACATTATTCACCCTCTTTTATACTTATACAGCGGCTCGTCTTTGGTGGAAATTCGACTGTATCTAAACGTTCTCGAGTCACTGTTCGGTTGAAAATTGTATGTTACCACCGAATACGAGAACTGAAGCAGTTTTTCTGAAACCACGTGCACCATTCAAACTGGCTGCCTTCAACGTTCGCACACTAATGCAGGTCGGACAACAGATAGGGCTGGCTATGTCTTTGGAAAGTCTCAATATTGATGTTTGTTGTCTATCCGAGACCCGTATTCAAGACTCTGGCGAAGTACTACAA